TGAACAGCTGAACTGCAGATCACAGTCAGCTGAAGTGGCCTGCAGTGCTGCACCCTAACCACTGCGCCACCTCGGCTCTTCAGGGAAGCTCCTGAAGCCTCCAGAGTGCCTCTGGGGGTGGGGTAGGGAGGTTTTTTTCACCCTCCCGAGGCTCCTATAAAGCCTCTGGAGCCTGGTGAGGGCGAAAAATGGCCCCAAAAGGCTAAAGTCAGTTGGCCAGCATACATGCCTCACATGCCCTGACAAATGGCTCCGCATGCCACCTGTGGCACACATACCATAGGTTCGCCATCCTGGCCCTAGGACATTTCAACTGTCAGAAATGTGAACCAGTTGCCAACATCTGAATTTTGATCATATGACTATGAGGATGCTGCAATGATTGTAAGTCATTTTTTCCAGTGCCGTTGCAATTTTGAATGGTCACTAAATGAACTGTTTTAAGTCAAGGACTCCCTACATATTATTTCATTCACATTATCTTTCTCATATAGTCGTTGCAGTGATTTCCCCCAGTGGAAAAACACAGTTATATTGTAGATAGTGACTATGAGTCATGTCTTAGTTTTATTTTATTGATAGGTCTTCTAGACCTGCCATGTGTTGTAGAAAAATATTGATAGCCTACTGAGTTTTTAAAAAATTAATTACCCTCCTGAAATGTAAACACTTGGGTAATCCCAACCTTTATCTAAAATACTTCCCACAATTTTTGTTATAATTGTAATATTCATTTTCAGACTATAGTGACCCCTAGTGGTTATTTGGTTCTGAAAACTATTTTTCCAATTTTTTGTTTATTATGATTATTTAATTATTTTTGAATTAAAAAGTCAATAGGTGCTCATTTCTTTACAAATAAATGTTTGTGATGAAACATTAATTGAATATTATAGGTTTATGAAAATATTCTTTTTAATTATACAGAGCTTTATTTGCAAGAAACCTTTAAACCCCTAGTGAATATTTCACCTGATGCAAGGTATATAATTATTTTCCTTATCTTTTTTTATTTGTAAATTATGTTAATGTTTTATTATAAACTGTTATTTTTATCACACTATTTCAAAGAAGAATTTAAAACCAATTCAATATCTGTCAGAAGTTAGGATTTTGATGGCACTCATTTATGATACTCATTTTAATGTTCTTTGTATTGATGACTTTGATTGATGACTTGTATAGATGAGCTTGAGGCAGCGATTGCTCAGCAGTTAAAGGAGCTGAGCTTGTCAGCTGAAAAGCTGACAACCCAGGTTCAAGACCTATGTGCTGTGCAACAGAGTGAGCTCCTGTTCCTGTCCCAATTCCTGCCCACCTAACAGTTCAAAAGCTGCAAATGCAAGTAGATAAATAGCTACCACTTTGGTGGAAGGAAACAATATTCTATGCACCTCTTATAGTCATGCTGTCTAAGGAAAATGATTTTGGATAACATTGGCTTCCTCAGCTAAGAAACAGATATGAGCATGCCCCCTAGAGTTGGACACAATGAGATAGAGGAAACCTTTACCTTTATAGATCAGTTATCAACTATGAATTATCAACTTACTGGACACTATCAATAACTTTGAGCCTTAATAACTTTCTTCTTTCTCTACTGTATATCTTCTCACAACTCTCCTTATAATGATTCTTCTCCTAGAACATTCCTACTTGTTTTTTATATATACTGTTGGTATTAAAATATATGTAACATGTCTACTTGAGAATTAAAACTGTATATTCTTCAGCTTTCACAATTTCCTTGAATGTTGTATACTAAGAATCATTTATACTTTGGATTTTGAGTAATTCTTTCGTAGTGGGAAAATATCTTTTTGAAATAAGTCAATAGAATAGTACAGTGGTGAAATTCAATTTTTTTTACTACCGGTTCTGTGGGCGTGGCTTGGTGGGCGTGGCAGGGAAAGGATACTGCAAAATCTCCATTCCCACCCCACTCTGGGGCCAGCCAGAGGTGGTATTTGCCGGTTCTCCGAACTACTCAAAAATTCCGCTATTGGTTTTCTAGAACCTGCTGAATTTCACCCCTGGAATGGTACTAATAATTGCAATTATTTTCTCTTTAGCCTTTTTGATGCTGTATATTCACTGATCAAAAACAAAATCCACAGATTACCAGTTATTGATCCTGTGAGTGGAAATGCACTTTATATACTTACCCATAAAAGAATACTCAAGTTTCTCCAGCTTTTTGTAAGTGGGACTATAATTTTATTCTGTACTAATTAACTAATAAATCAGTTGTATGAATGAATGTTAAAAAAGTCTATGTCAGTACACTCATTACATGTACCTTCCAGTTTGCAAAATGCAAACTCTACCTTGTATAGAAAAGCACAATTTAGCAAAGTCTACTGGTTGCATTAACATGGATAGCTGCATGTGGCATAAATAAGTGTAAGGCAGACAATTCGGTTGGCACCTGGTCTATTAAATTAAAAATGGTATATGAAAGTGTTGAGTATCCCAAGTGATAATGGGTTATGGAGGTCAGTATCGATGCCATCTTTTGAACACCATGGCATAAAGAAGGTTGGGACATGGAATGTAAGAGTAAGAAATGGTAGAAACATGAACTGTCAGGTGAAATGAAATAAAGAAAAATAAAATTCAAACCTATTGGCCCTGCTGAAGTAGAGCTTCTCAGCTTGTCCTCCTGTGTTTTAGATCCCTGCCCTTCCTGATTCATTAATATCTCCTGGGAGGGGGCAGGTGGTGGGGGTTCATTCAGTGAAAAATATATATTGGAAAGAGATGTACACTTTTCACGACACATACAGGAAGAATTAACACTGAAAGTTTCAAAGCTGTGAAAGTTTTATCTAAGATGATCTCTGACGTTCCAAATAAGGACAATGGTAAAAGTAGAGTATTCCATTGATAAAAGCATTGTGAGGATGAAACATAAAAGAACTAAAAGCTGAATATTCATTTTAAACAAATGTGACATTTAGAATTGAGTTTACACAATAATTTTAGACTTACTAAATTTCAGAATTGATTTAAATATTTATTTAAAGATTTGTTGAAGTGGAAGAACTGAAGAATACATTCCTTGTGCAAGTTTTTTTTAAAAAGAATATTGGCTTACATGACTGGATAACGCTTTTCAAATAATTATTTTGTAAAATTTGTCTTTTATATTTTTTTCAAGGTGTCAGAAATGCCAAAGCCTGCCTTCATGAAGAAAAATCTGGATGAACTTGGAATAGGAACTTACCATAATATTGCCTTTATACATCCAGACACTCCTATCATTAAAGCCTTGAATATATTTGTAGATAGAAGGATATCAGCACTACCTGTTGTGGATGAGTCAGGTGAGCAATAAGGATTATCAAGTTTGTTACTGCTTGTTGTGAGATCTAAAGACTGGAAATGTTTTTAAATTTTAAGAAGAAAACCACAAAATGTAGATATGCAAGATTGAGATCTGAAGCACTTTTATGCGCACACCACATTAAAATATTGTGCGTACCTAATTTAAAAAATCTTTGAAGATTTCATTATTTAATCAGATCAATGTTTCTCAATGTTGACAAATTTAAGATGCATGGTTTGCAACTCCCACAATTCCCCAGCCAACATTCTGGATAATTTTGTATAGCTTCATGTGGAGGGCTTAAAAAAAAGTAATGAATATTATTCCAAGAAGCCCTAAAAATCATATTACTGGGAATTAACATAGTTCTGCAGCAACATCTGAGAGTTGATCAGCCAAAAAATATGGCTAATCACTCCAAGTCATCACCAATGCAATGTCAAGCTGTGCCAAAGTCCAGGAAAACAACAGATTTGTTCAAAAGTTAAGTCATTCACCAAAATTTTTAATATTCCAAAACAGCATCTAAATCTACCATATTTTCCCCAAAATATGACATTCTGAAAATAAGGGTGCCACATTTTTGGGTGGGCAAAAATATAAGCCCTCCCCTGAAAATAAGCCCCCTGGACAACCCCCTCCTCCGGCCAGGCAGAGCACCGCTCACCGACCTAGCAGTATACCAAAGTCGCCAAGCTGCGGGAACCAGTGGGGGCAAAAGGTGGGAACCAAGGGGGCAAAGGCTTTTGGGATACTGCTAGGTCGGTGATTGGCACTGTGCCCAACTGGAGAGGGGGATTGTTGGATGGCTGCTCTCTTGTGAGTGGTCTCCCGAAGAGCTGGGCACAGCCTCAGGGTTGAACAGATATGTTGCGCTGTCACAGCAGCACAACACAGCAGCCATGAAATGACCATACTCACGAGCAGCCACCCAGCAAACCCCCTTTCCAGCCAGGCACAGCACCATTCGCTGACTTAGGAGTGTTGCCAAGACGCATGAGCGCCTGTTCGCCGTCCCCCTGGCTCCCGCAGCTTGGCGCCTTTGGAATGCCCCTAGGTCAGTGAATGGGGCTCTACACGGCTGGAGGGTGTGTGTGTGTGTGTGCAAGCGGCTTTTCCGCTCCCCGCTTGCATGCCTCCCAGCCTCACAATGCCCTGGCCCAACTCTCCCTGCAAAGCCAGGGCACTTCCGCTGCCGCCGTCCCAGCATGGCTTTTTCTGCAGCTTCCAAACCACGGAAGTAAGATGCTGAGTCTTCCGATAGTGGTTGTTCTGGGAATATGCTCTATAGTTGTACACTCTTACCTCCGTGGTTTGGAAGCCGCAGAGAAAGCCATGCTGGGATAGTGGCAACGGAGGTGCCCTGGCTCTGCAGGGAGAGTTGGGCCAGGGCATCGTGAGGCTGGGAGACACACGAGCGGGGAGCGAAAAAGCCGCTCGCGCAACTCTCCTCTCCAGCTGAGCCCCATTCACTGACCTAGGGGCATTCTGAAGATGTCAAGCTGCGGGAGCTGGGGGACCGTGAACAGGCGCTCACACAGCTTAGGCCTGGATTCCTTTCAGTCTGGTTTCAGGCCTGGGTACAGCACAGAAACCGCTTTGGTCACACTGACCGATGATCTCTGGCGGGCTAGGGATAGAGGGCATTTATCCTGGTTTCCTCTATCAGCGGTTTTCGATACCATCGACCATGGTATCCTTTTGCGACGTCTGGAGGAGATGGGAGTGGGAGGCACCGTTCTATGGTGGTTCTCCTCCTACCTCTCCGGTAGGTCGCAGTCGGTGTTGGGCAGGGGACAGAGGTCGACCCCTAGGCCCCTCAATTGTGGAGTGCCGCAGGATTCGGTCCTATCCCCCCTCCTATTCAACATCTACATGAAACCGCTGGGTGTGATCATACGACGGCACGGGATAAAGTACCATCAATATGCAGATGATACGCAATTGTACCTATCTGCCCCGTGCCAGCTCAGTGTAGCGGCGGACGTGATGTGCCGATGCCTGGAAGCTGTCAGGATCTGGATGGGGGTAAACAAACTCGTGCTCAATCCCGACAAGACCGAGTGGCTGTGGATGCTGCCCCCGAAGGACAGTTCGGACAGTACATCCTTGATCCTGGGGGGTGAAAACTTATACCCCTCAGAGAGGGCTCGCGAATTTGGGGGTCCTCCTGGATTCACGGCTGACACTGGAACACCACTTGTCGGCTGTGACCAGGGGGGCCTTTGCCCAGGTTCGCCTGGTACATCAATTGCGGCCCTACTTGGATCGGGGTGCCCTTCAAACAGTCACTCACGCCCTTGTCACCTCAAGGCTGGATTATTGCAATGCGCTCTACATGGGGCTACCTCTCAGCAGCGTTCGGAGACTACAGTTAGTCCAGAATGCAGCCGCGCGAGCGATATTGGGTGTATCGAGGTACACCCATATTACACCTATCCTCCGCGAGCTGCACTGGCTGCCAATTGGTCTCTGAACTCAATTCAAGGTGTTGGTCATTACCTTTAAAGCCCTACATGGCTCAGGACCAGCGTATTTGCGAGACCGCCTACTGCCACATACCTCCCAACGGCCGATAAGATCCCACAGGGTGGGCCTCCTTAGGACACCATCAGCCGGACAGTGTCGGCTGGCGGGGCCTCAGAAGAGAGCCTTCTCTGTGGCTGCTCCGACCCTGTGGAATCAGCTACCCCCAGAGGTCCGGGCCTCACCCACGCTCATGGCCTTCAGAAAAGCTGTTAAAACCTGGCTGTTCCGGCAGGCCTGGGGCTGTTGACCTTATTATGTAGGGTCCAGCCCCGATCAGAATATATGCGTGTTCGGAAATTTTTAAATTATTTTTTATTTTGTTTTTCTTGTTCTTGTAAGCCGCCCGGAGTCCTCCGGGATTGGGCGGCCTATAAATCTAATGAATTGAATTGAATTGAATTGAATTGGCAATACCCCTAGGTCAATGAATGGTGCTGTGCCCGGATGGAAAGGGGGTTTGCTGGGTGGCTGCTTGTGAGCGTGGTCTCTTCATGGCTGCTGTGTTGCGCTGCTATGAGCGCAACATAGCCCTTCGAGGCTGTGCCTGGCTCTTCGGGAGCCTGCTCACAAGAGAGCAGCCGCCCGGCAACCCCAAAACAATTAGCCCTCCCCTGATAATAAGGCCGAAGCCATATTTGTGAGTCAATCAAAAGAAAATAAGACCCTGTCTAATTTTTGGGGAAACTCGATATAAACAAGCATATATGCTTTAATGGTCAGGAAAACATTCTCTTTCTTATATTGAATTGAATATCTACAATTTTCATGGTTTTTTCTTAGTTGTTTTCCTTAATCCATAAAGCTAGAAAGCAAGTGTTCTCTTTCCAAAATGATGGAATTAATATTAATTAATTTGGTCTGTCAGTTATTTGTGATCACATTATAAGGCTTATTTTCTTCCCTTTTTAGGAAAAGTTGTAGATATTTATTCCAAATTTGATGTTATAGTAAGTATTATTGGTTTTTTAATAATATTTCTTTGACTTAGTTTTTCGGTGTGACCACTCTGAAATATGCCCTGGTTCATAGAATTAGTGTTATTCTGTATGAAATTACTTTGTCAATATGTTAAATAATATTTTGTAACCTTCTTTATAATTACTGAGCTAGTTCTTTCCCCTCCCCTACAAACTACTAGAACAGTAGATTGTGTAACATGGTTCCAAAAGCTAAGTATGATGCAGTCAGAAATTGTCTTAAGCATAGTGAGTTTTGCATAAATATAAAGTGACAGCACCAAAACTGTTAAGTAAAAGTGAGAAGAAAAAATAAATTTGAGGTTTTATTTTATGAATACTTTTGATTTAATCCAGGGGTTATCAACCTTTCGAACCTCAGGGACCACTAAATTCATAATTTTAAATCCCGCAAACCACTAATATGAATTCAGCACACCGCTCGCTGAAGCGTGTACACTCCCAGTGACAGGATGGGGTCCTTCAGGCACTTAGCTTGGTCACCTGTTACTGAAACTTTGAACACTCAATTTGGACCCATTTCTCACAGAAAACAAAACTGGGAACGTTCATCTCTCTCTCTCTCCCTCTCTCTCTCTCTCACACACACACACATCTCTCATTCTGATTCTCCGGTGCTCTCTGGGTCTCAAAGGTGCTTCTTCAGCCTTTGTTGGTGTTGGATGCACCTTGGTTGCTTGGGGAAATGCACAACCTGTTCTCCTTCCTGAAGCAGTGGCCCAACTTAGCTGCAGCTGATGTTCTGGGTCGTAATGGGCTCCAGGAGGAGGGGACACTGTTTCCCCCACTGTGAAATGCGCTAAATTTAACTGTGGTACAAAAGCAGCGGGCAGGCCATGGAAGCACAAACAGCAGTGGAGAAGAGAAACGGCTAGGTCGGGCCAGTGTCTGGGTGCTGAGAGGAAGTTGTGCATCTCCCCATGTGCCCAAGAAATGCTCGTGAGATCTAGCAAGATATTAGGCTTCGCTTCTGCTCTGAAATATGGAGCAAATCTCCATCCCTCGCCCTTTCCTTCTCAGGCCAGGCGAAGAGTGACTTTGAGGGGAGGGCAGGAGGACAGCCAGTGGTGAGTTCAGTCAACAGGAAGCCACAGCAGGGGGACGAAAGAACTGTGGGTTGCCACCACCCGTAGCTTCAGCCCATCTGCGCCATCACCACCACCCTGCTGCAACAACACCATTACCTCGTTCCGGCTAGCGAAGGCTGCGCTATTCCTTGCACGTTCACCAGCTGCAAAGTTGCAAGTTGCACATACATCCCTCTACAGAAGAGATTTCCAGCCCCACCACAAGCTGCTTGGCCGGTCCCATATTTCAGAGCTCTAGTTACAGAACTGGCCCATTGGTCATCCTGGAGCAGCTCCTCCAATCTGGTGGGCTGCAGACCACCAACATTTTCTTGCGGACCACCGGTTTTTGACCTCTGAATTAATCTAAAGCAATCTAAAATAACTAATCTAAAAGTATTCCATGGATACTTTCTAAAAAGTGGGAACAACATTCTTGGTTGAGGAAAGAACTACTGAACAATTGTTTGTAGTATCCCATGTTTCAGATGAAACAGTGCTATCCTGCCTTAAAATCAAAGATAGGAAATTAGAATTATTCTGTTGCTTTTTTTTCTTTTTGTGATCATTGCCCGTTTTGAATTCAAAATTATGGGCAATTCATATACATAATTTGCTACTTTGCTAATTGTCATTAATGAGAATGCTGGGACAAAGTGAAAGGAAAGGGAAATAGTTGAGAGGAAATGGGCAAGCAACCATACTATTCTCCATATCCCTCACCCCAAGATCTTTAACTTTAGAAAGTGAAAAATTAAGTACCATTAATGTATAGTATGCATTATTTTTAACCAAAACACTCTTTTCTTGTACCCAATTAATCCAAAATATGTATGGTAGTGTCATGGGGCGCATACAGGTTTGTCTACTTCACTTTTTTCCATTGGTTAAATCACAACATGTGGATCATGCTTCTGGAGTAATAATGAAATTTGTTGGCTGTGCATAAAAAGTGGAATTGACTCATCTGTAACTTCCTTTTTTTCTAGAATCTTGCTGCTGAAAAAACTTATAATAACTTAGATATCACAGTGACACAAGCTCTCCAACATCGCTCTCAGTATTTTGAAGGTGTTGTGAAATGTAATAAGCTGGAAACGCTGGAGACAATTGTGGATCGGCTAGTTAAAGCTGAGGTGAGAATTGGGAGGGGGGGCACAGTAGTTTTCTGAATAGCACTGCTTATGAGATTTTTCCAGAGATTAAACAGATGGAACAGTATAAGAATAGTGATAATACAAAAATCATTGAAACATATTCTAGCCACTTTAAAAAAAGTGCAATAAATTTAGTGTATGATAATTTTGCTTCTTAAATTGATTTATAAGGATTGTTAGATTTCCTAATTAAGTATGTCACTTATTGAGATTTCAAATTGATCTTGCTGTAAATATAGTTTGGAAAAAGTTTGTTGATGTGAATGGATTAAACCATCAAAACATTTAAGAACCGCTAGGAACAAATGCGTTGAAGATGTGTGAGAACAACATGATAGAAACATTCTGTTAACACACCTTTATGTGATAATTAAAATAGCTTAAAAAGTGAATAAGAAGAAACTGTTCAACCTCTCACTTTTTTTAGCAATCAGCAATCTATTCTAAATAAGGCATAATTGAGATGTACCTTCAAAACACTGGATATCTTCTGGAGGGTAAAGCTGTTCTTTGCTTTGCTTTAATTGCAAGTTTGATTCACTTGCAGACAACAGAGCTAGACTAGAAATTTATGCCCATTTCATTTTAGCATACACATTCATATATCCTAAAATTTTACTGTTTTCTGCTTTTTCCAAGTAGTATTTGGCTGGATTTTGAGAATGCATGGGTAATCTTCCCATATAGCTAATTGCTTACCTAAGCTTATGAATTTTCCAATTCTCTTCCTCCAAGCACCATCTTTTCAAAATATAAGTAGAAAGAAGCCCCAAAATATTCTGAATTATTTTCTATTCAACTAAAATCAGAAATGGCCTTGAAATATTTTGCTCTGCGACAAAATGAAGACAGGAGCAAATTACAAAGAAGTCAAGAATCCAGCAAAAAGATTAGGGACTACTATGTATGCTTTTTTGAGTCTCTACAGCAAAGAAAGATAAATTTAACAAACAAATTATAGTTATGTATTATTCAGGAGCCCATTTGTGTAAGAAAGTTACCAAACTTGAAAAGAAAGATTATTTGATTAAATCTGTGCAACAGTCATAGACACATTGAACCCATTCATCATAATATTCCTACGTAAAATATCACCAATATAAGGTAAACATCTATAAAAATAGATTTCCCCCCCTTTTCTGTTTCTTTCCTGTGTTCCCCATTTGTATCAGGTGGGTATGACTGTTCAAATACAAGAGAAGAGGAGCTCTAAATTGCCTGGCCGGTAGGTGGTTCACCTCTGTCCTCCATTGTTGAAAAAACTTGACTTGATTCTGTGTGCTTACCTTTTGACAGAGTGCCCACCCTTTCTTTTTTATCAGTTCTTTTCAATTCACGTATTTCCTAAAATGGATACAAAATGAGAAAATGATAGCAAAAAGAGTAATTTACAAGGGTGGGAAATCTGGGCCCTTCAGGTTGTTGTTGAAATTTAACAGCTTGGCCTGGCTATCAAGGCTATGCTGGTAGATGAAGTTCAGCACATCTAGAAGTCCATAGATTCCCCGTCCCTGTAGTAAAATATCATCTTTATTCTAGGAATGGGGAATTAGTGGCCCTTAAGATTCCGTTTAAAGTAGGAATGCTACATAGGATCATTTATCATTGTTATAGCATTTTATTTTTCCAAAGGATAATATTTCTTGAGATTTCCTGCAGAAATGATAATCTGTTTGCCTTTTTAATCAAATGAATGTCTTTCCTTTGATCCTCTGACCAGTTCCAGTTAATGTTGTTGCTATCAAATATTGATAAACAGAAATTTTGAGACAATTTTTAAATATATACAATTCATTTGCAGTAACCTGAATTGTAAGTTACTAGAGCATTAGAAATGGTATAACATGTTGATCTAGATGAGTTCTATAAGTCCCTCACTTGAATTAAATGATGTGAAGAGGAATGAAAAAGATCAGCTGTCTATTGGTTTCATATACCAGTTAAATACAGGGAATCCTTGTTTTGGAGTTACAAGGTGGGACTGTCAACTTGGTCATTAAATGAAGCAGTTGCAACTCTGCTTATGATCTTCCTTTAGCTTTCCTTTGCTTTACAAATCTATTATAAATCCTAAATGTTATAAATGCAAGAATTGAATACTCAGCTTTTCATTGCCCTTTTAACTGCAAACATTTGTTTAGAGACTAGATAAGGACTATCGGTAATATGAACAATATAATAGAATCTTGTGAACTTCCATATTGTAATCACCAATACAGTTCTTTTACTCCAATTTCTGAAGCTATTAAACAACCCAGAAGATTCAGTAGAATCACAAATTGCAGCTTGTTTTATGTGAAAGCAATATTTGATCCAGAAAAACAAGGAATGGCTTATAAAGAATCCAGTTTAATGTGATTTTCATATCTTGACTAATAGAAGAGAATATTGGTAATTCAAGATTAAACTGTAAGCCATTTCTTGGAGCCAGGTCTTGGAGCCAGGATCTGAGAGCACCAAGAACTCCATGTATCTTTGCTAATTGTAGTTCCCGGATTCAGACATAATGCCTGCATTCAAAGATACCATTACTAAATCTACATGACTAGGATTTCTGGTTATGTTTGTTGGAAATGCCAGAAATGGCTGTTTTGCTCATAGTTGCTCAAACTATTATGGCTATGTACACAATTTATGCTAATCCAAAAGCAAATAAGCATAATAATGGCTTAGCACAAAATGTGAGCTTGGGCAGTGGCAAGCTATGATTAATATGGCCTTCTGAATTATTTCCCATCTCACATAAAGGGAAAAAACAGCATGTAAATGCAGACGTCTTATTCATCTCTTGACTTGTGTAATATCCAAATCGTAACCTAATATTACAGATTGGATTGAAGCCTAAGTAGGACCACATATTTGATTCCCCCAAGCAGTTAACTCCTTACCCCAGTGCACAGAGTGAATGGTTGCTTTCCGATATAGACTATACAGCCTTCAGAGACTGCATGTAAGATGGAGATTTGTTGGTCTGCTTGGGTTTACTCACTTTGCCTTCTTTTGTGTCTCCTGTCCTCCTATTGGCTATACCTGTATTCAGTTAGCTAAAGGTAAAATATGGGAATGTGTATACACAAACACACATTCATAATTTGTTAAGGTTACACATAAATTAGTTTTTGCTGTCATATATAGTAAACTTCTTTCAAATCTCATGATCTTCAAAAATAATATATGACATAGGTTAGCTACTCAAAATATTTGCTGGGAAATGCTATCATACTATACTCTTTGGAGCATAAATTATAAAAACACGCAATTAGGATGAAGCTTTTATTAGGTTGTTCTAATTTTAAATATAGTTTATGTTTGAAAACGGTAACATTACACTTCACTTTTATCATAAAAATAGACTTGTTGGCTTTATTCTGTTCCTTCTTAGATTATGTTTCAGTATTTAGTTATAATCTCTATTTTTATCAAGAGTCTTCTTAAATTTATTTATAACCAGTAGCTATTCTGTTAGAAGCAATGAATAAATACCTACATACAAGGGCATCATTGCTGTTAAACTAATACTTTGTTAGTTTTTCAACAATTACTGTTGATTAGCTGTGTGAAATTCACCTGTTCTAGTGTAGAATATGTATGCCTTTAGTTTTACCTAAGTCCACAGAAAGGACCTAAGTGCCAATGCATAGCACTGATAGTTAAGAAGAGGACTTGGAATGTGTTGCAATGGCATATTGTTAATAAAGCTAAATATAACTTGATCCAGACATCAGATGGGAGTTTGAGGAAACAGATGTCATTGCTAATGTTTGCTCTTTGTAGACTACATAAATCACTTAAGTAAGAATGGCTCTCTAAAAGAAAACAAATCCAGTTTTTAGAAAGTGCTTAAAATGTTCACGTTAATTTGATTTGGGAAGTAACCATTCCTCTGTGTAAAATAATCTAATTGTCTCTTAACCTGCATATTTTTATTTTTATTGTGCTTAGGAGGACAATTGGACAGCCATTATTGTTATGTGCATTGTGTTTTCAGGTCCATCGATTGGTGGTTGTGAATGAAACTGATACTATTGTTGGTATCATCTCCCTCTCTGACATCCTCCAAGCATTAGTGCTTACACCAACAGGTATGAGTTCCACATTTCACTAGTAAGCATTTTCTCTAGGAACATGACAAATATTTTACATTACTTTTATCTTTACAACTCCTAAAACATAGGCAGACTATGAAAGGATTCCCCATTGAAATTGAAGACAATGAATAAAGATGTTTTATGCATGTGCCTCTCAAATGTGTAATAATTCATTTTAAACCAGCATATGCTTTAGATATAATCCTCCAACTTTAAAAAATCATTAAAACTTGGTCCAGATGCAATTATAAAAGTAGGAATCTCATTTCTAATTGGCTAAGTTCTAGGTTTAGAATCCAGTGATCCTCCAGTGGTTAAGACACCACACTAGATACCAGGTGAGTTCTAATCCTGCCTTAGGCATGAAAACCAACTAGGTAACTTTGGACCAATCACTCTCTCAGCCCAGCTCACTTTACAGGGCTACTATGAGGAAAAATAGGAGGAGGAATAAGTATTAGGTAAGTTTATTTTTATTTATTTATTAAGTTTCTACATCACACACTTCATAAGTTGAGCGATCTTGATGTTTGCCATCTTGACTTATTTATAAACATATAAGAAAGGTAGGATTTTAAAATATCTTTAAAAATAATATAATGGGTGAGTATGTTCTTACATGTAGTTTGTATACTGAGATTTCTTAAACATTACAAGTGAACAAGAGAATTATTATTATTATTGTTAAGTACATTTGACATTTACAGAGTCCTGATTCAGTCTGAACAGAAAAGTTTAAAATAAATGAAAGATATTAATATATTAGCTGCACTAGAAGTTCTTTGTACTAGAAGTTTAAAAGTATATTGTAAACTAGAAATATTCCAGTTGATCTAAATATGCATAAAAATATTTTTGACAGAATGTAAAAGATGTTTTAATCTATTGTATATATACAGAGGCCTGACATATACAGTGCATTTAGAGTGTTCGTACATCCTTCACTTTTATTGATTTTGTTATGCTGAAGCCTGGCTCTACAGTTATTGAAATTCATTTTTTTCTCATTAATCTACACTGAATACCCCATAATGCCAAAGTGAAAATAGAATTGTAGAAATGACTGTAAATTTATTAAAAAGAAAAAACTGAACTGAACTTTGGCAGAAATTACAAGTCCACTGTTCTTTGCAAATCCTTTCAAGCTCAGTCAGTTTGGATGGTCACCGTTGGTTGTCAGACATTTTAGAGGCCTCTAGAGATGTTCAATAGAGTTCAGGTCAAGTCTGGCCAGGCCACTCTAGGATATTCACAGAGTTGCCCCTAAGCGACTCCTGTGTTGTCTTGGCTGTGTGCTTGTTTGTTGTCATGTTGGAAAGTGAATCTTTGGCCCAAACTGAGATCCTGAGCACTGCGGAACAGATTTTCATTGAGGATATCTCTGTACTATACTCCATTCAGCTTTCCCTTAATGCTGACCAGTCTCCCAGTCCCTGCTGATAAAAAATACCCCCACAGCATGATACTGCCACCGCATGCTTCACTGTTGGGATGGCATTGGGCAGGTGATGAACGGTACCTGATTTCCTTGAGATTTAATATTTAGAATTGAGGCCAAACAATTGGTTTCACCAGACCAGAGAATCTTGTTCCTCATAGTCTGAGAATCCTTCAGGTGCTTTTTTACAAATTCCAAGTGGCCTTTCACATGTTTTGCACTGAGAAGTGGCTTCCGTCTAGCAACTCTGCTATAAAGTTGCAATCAGTGGAGGGCTGCAGTGGTGGTTGTCCTTCTGGAATTATGTCCCATCTCCATACAGGATCTCTGGAGCTGTCAGAGTAACCATTAGGTTCTTGGTCATCTTTTTAAGGCCCTTCTCCCCCAATTGCTTTGATTGGGTGACCAACTCTTGGAAGAGACCTGATTGTGTCAAACTTCCTCTATTTGAGAATTATGGAAGCCATTGTGCTGCTAGGAATCTTCAGTGCAGCAGAAATTTTATTACAGCCTTCCCCATATCTGTGCCTTGCAACAGATCCTGTCTCTGAGCTCTGCAGGCAGTTCTTTTAACCTTGTGGCTCTTGCTCTGCTACAGTATGCATTCTCAACTGTGAGGCCTTCTCTAGAGATGTATGCCTTTCCAAATAGTGTCCAATCAATTTAACATAGGTCGACTGCAAATCAAGGTGTAGAAACACGTCAGCAACGGTCAAGAGAAATGGGAGGCACCTGAACCAAATTTCAAGTGTTATTGCAAAGGATCTGAATAATTATGTCAATGCACTATTTCATTTTTTTCTTTTTAATAAATTTACAGACATTTCTAAAATTCTTTTTTTTACTTTGTCATTGTGGGGTACTGAGTGTAGATTAATGGGAAAAAATGAATTTCAACAACTGTAGAATTGGGCTGCAGCATAACAAAATTGACAAAAGTGAATGGAGTCTGAATACTTTCTTGAATATATTAAGCCTTTATATAGGAAGAACAAAAGTGTGAGTAGCACTGAGGTGAACTAGACAGTGCTGGGCCTAATCCATCTGTGCAGAAATCCTTAGCCCTGTGACATAAGCATGGCATTATCTTGAAATGGGCTCAGATTTTGATAGGCACAGTCTCTATTTCTTATAGGGAATAGCATGAGATATTAAAGTAACTAATTTCATGAAGTACAATGGGAATAAAAAAGAAGGGAAATAATCCTACAGATAATATACCACAAAAGAAACACATTTTAAGGGAAACCATGAGAAAGCAAGCTCTAAATGGGAAAATACACACTTGCTGCACAGAGATGCCAGAGATTTATCTATTTGCTGTTTATTAACAGGCGCCCGGCAAAAGGAGAGTGGAACTGAATGACTGCTTTAAACAGAAACACCTTGGAAAGAATTTGAATAAAGTGGCTGGGTCATCTTTGCCTCAAGAACATTGATGGCAGTAGAGAAGAGTCAAGTGATGATAAGAATGTGTGTGTATTAGGCTAAGTGATGGATAGTCTATTATTTCCCAGTGACTGTCGCAAAACAAGCAGCGTGACAAAAAGCTTCTGTATTCAATGCAGGCTTGCATATCAACATGTTTGCCAAAAGATTTCATCTGATGTCCATCTCAAATGCACTGGAAAAGAATAGCATTTAATGTTATGTTTTAATCTGATGCAAGTCACTGGTCAGCAACAGATCTCCGACATAAGGCAAGTGTATGGCATATTCATATCAGAGTGCCTTATGTCAAAAAGCCAACAATATGTCATCACTGTTGCCCATCATAGTAAAAGAACTTGCTCTGCGAAACAAGATACTGTATTTGAAAATTCAAGTCGCTAAGCCTAAAACCAAATCAATTTCAGTTATCATTAGATTTGTTCTAAAAGCTGTAATTTAAATATCAGTAGATTACTTTAAACTTTAATTACAACTGTGTGTTTCTAAATGTTACATTCAGAACAGATGGTAAAACAAAACTGATTAAAAGCAGCTTTATTTATTTTTATTTCTGCAATTTTTACACATCTTTGGTGGATAGTTAAACTTCACCATATTCATTAATAAAGCATTGATTCATATGTAAGAAGCAATTCTCTTATTACTGAAACAGATAATAGAAGCAATCTTTACAGATGCATTACACAAAAGATTGAGAAATTGTTTATTAAATGTATTGCTACCCAGCATGTTTTGTTTGTCCACAGCAGAGAAATCATATAGTGGTATATGTATAAGTATGTTAAATTTATGTTGCCAGAAGTATAGTGCTAGAAATCTATATCCTACTAAAACACTCTTTCCTATAAGCTTTAACTGGGCGAAATGATGCATCATAGGACAACAATTTTTGAACCAAGGGTACCTCAAATGGTTTAATTTACAGAAAGTGTTCAAAATCTGGGATCCATGATTCCTGAGAGAATGAGATTAGGGAAATTTGTGGCTTCTTCAGCTCTGATCACCTGATGCTCATTTTGAACAGTTCTGTGAAATCTACGATAGTTTCCCAGCTACTTAAATATTCCTGTTTTTTTTAAAAAAAATAGAAAATTTGAAGTCCAAAGCACATGGATACACAAATTTACCTGCAGTTAGTTCATAATTTTTATAAAAATTAGCAGTACTACTGGATTTTTCTAAAATATTGAATGAGGGGAATTTTACATTGCCTAACTGCATACTGGTAACAACCTCTTGAAAGACAGGCAGATTTCAGGCAGAGTTAAAGCTTGCTTAATTTTGTTAAACAGATGCTCAGCTTTTAGATTAACTTTTAAAATTATACAGACTAAATAGGTGCACTGATGGAAGAAAACAATCTGGAAAAAGCAACCATCTGCCCTGTTTGACAATGCTCTCTTTAAATAAAGGCAGAATTCAAATTGAGGTGTGCAGATGTACACAATTTGCTGGTGAGAACATTTTATTCCACATGTAATCTTTTTCATAGGATAATTCTTCAAATTCATTTGCACTTGCCCAATTCCAACATTCCTTTCTCAGGGTATGATGACCTGAAGTGAGCACAGCCTTCAACTTGTCAACTAGTCTGTTTCTGCTCCTTTCCTCATGATGCCAATCATTTGCCATTGTTTTTTTTTCCAGCTTTTTTTCCAGTTTTTTTCTCCAGCAAGCATCACTTTCTTGGTCATTCACCAGTAAACTCAGCAAATATGTATGTAACTCCCCCCTCCCACTGTTACCTACTTTTGCCATTTTCATGTCCATTCTAGGCAGATCTTTCAATGCAGATCTCTTCAATGTCTCCTTTAAAAAAAATGGAGTACCTTGCTATCAGTACAAACAATGCCTGAAATTTTTACGCTCATCTTTCAAATTTATCCTCTATTATATGGCTGGATTCTTTCAAGCATTACATAAACAATCTGGCAAATGCTAAAAATCTAATATTCTATATTATGCCCAATCTTGATAATTTTCATATGTGTGGACTTTAGTTCCTAGAATTCTTCAGGAGGCTGGCAAGGGATTCTGGTAGTCCACATATCTTAAACTCACCAAGATTCAGAAATTTGAATTTACAATTAATCAGAAACTAATCCCAGCAACATATTCAAACATGATTGTATTTTCAGCACATGAATGGTTCATTCATTGAATCAAGACTGAAAATATGTTTTTTTCAATAGAGCCTACATTTTTACTCCCCCTGGCATGTACACTTAAGATACAATAAACACCCGCATGCAGTAAGGAGAAAGGTGGTAAAACTGCCATTATTAAATATGAGGAGAAGCAGGGTCAATTTATGAAGCGGTCGCAGCTGTATTAAAGTTTCCGGTTTGCTGAATCTGTGCCTACCAGCTGTGTTCTGCTTACTCTGTGTTGCACCTGTCCCACCTGTCCCATATATTATATATATAATATGTTGGAACTCCTGAGACGAGTATGAAACTTGCAAAGCAGAAAGACCTGATGCGATGGCCGCCGAGGGAAGAAAAGCAGCTGTGTCCTTCTGCATGCAGACCCCCTGCAAGCTGGATCAAGGGGAGTCCCCTTTCCGTCCTCAGCATCTTGAGACTCAAGAGGCTAGAATTCCTTGATGTTGGGCTGCACATGGAGCCACCGCTAGATGGCAATAGAGTAGTTTGGAAACCAACCTCTGGCTATGGGCGAGAAAAAGTATGCACGTACATGTGGAGGAAGAAAATAGAGAAAAGTGGGCTACTTACAGAGACTGGGTGTAAAGGAAGAGACATACATGTAGCCACATTCTCACTTCTGTTTATTTCCCTTTGTCCAATGTTTCTCAACCTTGAGGGCTTGAAGATATGTCAACAAACTCCCAGTTACCCAGCAGCAGTCTGGCTGGGGGTTTCTGGGAAATGAAGTCCACATATCTTAACATTGTTGAGAAACACTGGGCATAAAGTAGACAAGTATGTTACCCAGCAGAGAACATTGCAAATCACATTGCTTCAACTATCTGCAGGAAGGAGATCAAAATCTGCAAGTGGGTGCTGTGTTGAGATCCAGGATCTTTTGTACCTTGCAAATGTTGACCTTGCTTTTCAGAGCTGATTTGATCTAACCCTGAAGCTTTGATTTGATCATCTGGAATTTCTACAGCTTTACAGATCTTGTGAGCATTCTGATTTTCAGGGGCATGAACCCCTAATTCCATCCCAGGGTCTCTTATAGGTTATGATCAAGATGATGGCCACAATGGTGCAATCAAAACTCCCGTTTTTACATACATTTTAAAAATCCACATGTGGAGCTTTTATTGCACTATTTTGGCGGACATCTTGATTTTTTTGACAGTATCTCTCACTCCTATTGCTTGCTCAGAATTATTTTTTTCCCATTGCCCTCAAATATGTGCATCAACTCTTCATGCAGCTTTCCTCATTCTGTGTGCATTAATTGGAATATATTCCCAACCTCTAGTCCATCAGTCATAACAACAGGAACTAGGACCTCTGCTCTTGGAGAAAGCCCCTAGTTGCTCAGTAACTTGCAAATGGCCCTTTATTTTTTACCAGGAGAATGTCCCAACTACTATTACATTAACCTGCCCCACCAGGACAGGATGGAAAGTTATGTTACAGATCCCATCAAATAGGTATGTACCTCTGGTGGGACTGCAAAAGAGGGCCTTCTCTGTGATGGCCCTTTCCCTATGGAAGATAATTCCACCTGAGGAACAGTTGGCTCCCACCGTGTTTGCTTGTTTGCTTATTTATCTTACCACCAGGTAACTGGGCAGCTTACAATATTAAGATAAAACTATACAAATAAAAAAAATCATAAAAATATGATACCGAATGTTCCTTTTCCAAAAGGCAGTAAAATGTGGTTTGGTCAGCGATACTAGAGACCACATATGGAGGTGAAGCCAAATAAGTAGTTGATTTAATTGTGTGACTGATGTCGTGGGTGGGGTGTAATTTTTAACGGGCTTTTATAATGTATTTTTAATGTGAGCTATTTGGAATCATTTATGTATGAGTTGCATGGCCCTGTAGATTTGTTTAATTAATTAGATTAGATATTGTAATATATTTGGGATGGAAGTAGAAGACGACCAGGCTGAGCCCAAGGGCAGGGTCAAACTTATCATCATTCTGGAGCCTCTATGCCCCTGAAAGAGACCTAATATCAGCCACCCTTGAAGTTTGTTGACTCTTACCTGGCGCCAATTTGCCTTGACTGTTGATACAGATTCTTGTGTATAGTTACATGGAATAAACTCACAGAGCTTTTGAACTCTATCCTGGTTCCTAGTTTCTTGCGCCTGATAGTGGATGCATGAATGATATTGGTTGGTCTCTGCACCTCTGTACTAAATAATGGAGAATAACTTCATTATTTTGTCCACATTGTTCCAGTCTCTGAACATTTAGCCACTTTTCAGACAAAAGAATCTGAAGCGTTTAAAAATAACTATTCCTGGGAAGCAGCCTGAGAGGCTACAAGCAGTCCAACCTTTTTCAGATTTTCTTTGCATCTGCCATAAAGTCAACACTAGACTCCCCAATCTCTGCTTTTCCAACATCGTCACTGTAGTACAATCCAAGTGACATTTTGAAGCAGCCTTACTTCACAGGAAACGGAGAACAATTTACAGTGCAGTGATTTTGAACAAATGTTTCTTTCTCCACCCCCACCCCCCCCCTCTTCTGACATTTTGCTCAGAATGCTGTTTGCTTAAAGGCTGGCCAAGAGAGAACGGGTATGTTTTCACTGCAATGTGCTGTTAACAAGAGCACAAAACCCACGGGGGTTTGTTCAGGGAACCAAACCTTAAGAGCACTTGAAGGTTGCACTCTTCTTTCACCTGGAATTGCAAACTCAGGTGATGCATTCCTACTCTCCAAAAAGAGCATCACATAATATAGGCATCTCTGAGCTGACTTATTAGTAAATGAAGAATTGTTGGGGAGCACAGTGCATATAAATCCTTAACTTATACCCATTCATTTCGTGACTGTTCAAAGTTACAGTGGCATTGAAAACAGTGACAACTAACTGATCCTCACACTAACATCCATTGCAGTATCTCCACGTTCACGTGATCAAAATTCTGGCACTAAGCAACCGGGATGTTCGCCATTTGCAACCTTCCCAGTCGGCTTCCAACAAGCGAAGTCAATGGGGGAAACCAGATTCCCTTAACCACCACATGATTCAGTTAATGATGTCAATGATTCATTTAACAACTGTGGCTAAAAAAGTTGTAAAATATGGTGCAACTCACTACAACCACCTTGCTTAGCAATAGAAGTTCTGGTCCTAATCGTGGTCGTAAATAGTCCTTACCTGTAATGGGCTCCCTGTGTTTCAGTTGCCTTTTTCCCATCCAAAACTGCAAGCAGAAAGCAATGCTATTCTGCTTCTTCCCCCAAGGATTTTTTCCTTGTCCCTAATTGCATATAACTACCAAAAGTCCTAGATTACAGAATATTTTAAGATTACACCAACTAGTCAGTCTTAACATCACAAAAGCTTATTGCACAGGAAGCATTACTACTGTATATCTGGCTTCATTCTAATAAAATTTCATAAAAAGAAAATCAATTCCACTTTTATTCTGGGGCCGCAAACTTTTTGGAGTTTCCTTTTCCAAGGAAAGGCACAGCCTTCATCCTGAAAAAGGGAGATTTTCAAATGGGAACATTTCCACCGTTCTTTAAAGCTCTTTTTGTTACCTTGACCATTTTAATGTTTTGTGGACTTCAATTCCCAGAATTCCACAGCCGCTAAAAGGAGCAAAGTGCAACTCCCCAAAAGTTTCAGCAAGCATACAGCTGGGAAATTCTGGAAGTTGAAGTTCACACATCTTAAAATTGTCAAGATTGAGAAATACTAATTAAAACTGAAAATAAAGGCGTACCAAAAACCACCACTATTCATAGTCTTGTTTAGGAAAGGGGCTCTCAGGTGGCGCCTCCATTTCCCCGAGAATTTCGGCAGCCCCGCCCATCGTTCGTATTGTGAACGTTTTGACAATGAGTCCTGCATGGAAGCATGCATGAGCGGCGTACACGCCCTTCTGTCCTCGCGCAGCCCCGCCCTGCAGCCGCTCACCAATCAGAAGGCAGCATCCTTCCCGTTCCCGCCCTTCTCGCACCCCTGCGGCCAATAGCCGAAGCATCGAGGAAAAAAATCAATAGCGAGAGGGTGGGGAGCGTGCATCCCACGAGCGCGAGGAGGAGGAGAAGGAGGAGGAGGCGGGACCCCGGCCGTTGGGCGGAGCAATCTTCGGAGAGCAATGACGCCGCGAAATTTCCAGGGCCAGCGAGCGCCTCCCGTCGGCCAATGGGCGGGGCCGCCGCCCTCTTCTCCCCGCCCTCTTCCGGGGGCGTCCCCACACTGGGGGGGGATCCCGGGCAGGCAAACGGGGCGTGGAAGCGTGAGTGCGCGCGCGCGGGGGCGGGGCCCGAGGAGGATGGCGGTTGTCGTCACATGAACTAAAAAGCCGCCGCCGCCGTCGCGTCCCTCAGACAGTCCTCACGGGAGTCTCGCGCAGGTCACCCGCCGCCCCTTCAGCAGCAGATCCTCCGCGCCCGCTCGCCTTCCCTGATCGGCCGCCGCTCCTGCCTCCGCCACAGCCCTTGATGCCTTTGGGTGCTCGGCGAGGAAAAGATGCCACCGTCCAAGTCTCGTAAGATCGCCATCCTGGGATACCGGAGCGTCGGTGAGTCCCGCCCTGAGGTGCCCGGGGGTGGTGTTGGGTGCACGGCGGGCTCTGTCCCCGCTTCACCCGGCGGCGGAGAGGCTCGGGGGGTGGGCAGGCGGGCGAGGCCTTCCCATCAGAGCCCGGCGCTGGCAGGTGCCAGGCATCCGTCCGGGCCTCTCACGCACTGGCGATCGGTGCGCGTGGCGGATGCCGGGGCTGCCCTGGCCGATCGGCCGCCGTCGCCCGAGCGAGGTTTGCATTTCCCGCCTGGGCAGAGCCAATGCCACGGGCCTTCCTGGGCGGGAGGCGATCCTGGGAGAACGCAGGGATGCTCGCTCCGCTCTCCCGGAAGGCGCCGCCCGGGGTCTCCCGATCGCCCCCACCGCCACCCTCCCAGGCTTCCACCCGGCGGCCCCGATCGCGCCTCCCTGGCAGCGGCAGCGTTGGGAGAAGGGGTCCGGGTGGGCGGAGGCGCCTCCTCTCGCCCACCTTCTCCCCTGAGTGGAGGCTGCGAAGGATCGGTCCGATCTCCGCGACTCTCGCCGCCTCAGAAGGACCCCGCTGCCTTTTACGGCCGCCATAAAACTTTGGGCTGAGTTGGGTGGGAGTCACCGGCCCTTTCGGAGGGCACCGTGCAAACGGCGGGGAAAAGGTTAACGCGGGTTACGCAACCTTTTGTTTTGCTTCCTCAAATTACCACACTGTCTTTTGTGTGTGTGTGTGTCGGTGTCAAGGTGGTTTGGGCTTTTTGTCCCCCCTTTCCTCCCCTCCCCTTTCTGGAATAAAAAATTAAGGGGATGCTGTGAGCCGGAGGAGGATTAAAAAGACTACCTTGAGTTTCACAGAAGAATAAATGTAAACCGAAGGTGACTTTTAAATTGTAATATTCATTCAGCCTTGACTTGTTAAGTTCAGCAGGTGTGCTTGGAGTAAAAGTTTTCTTTTGTTTTCCTAGTAATTATAAATGTACCATGTGTTAACAGGGTTGGGCATGCCACAAAAGTGAAAGTGGTGCTTTAGGGAAAGCTATTTCCACTTCTCCAGCACCAATCTCATGAAGAAGACCACTTGCGCATTCTGCGTCTTGGGTTAAATTTGGACAGCACTCTCTTTCTCTCCCTCTTTTTGTCTTTCTCTTCCACTTTCCCTCTCTCTTCCCCCTTTCTCTTTCTTTTCTTTCTTCCCCTTTTTCCCTCTCTCTCCCTCTTCTCTCTCTTTCTCTCTTCTCTCTCCCTCCCTCCCTCTCTCTCCCTCTCTCTCTCCTTCCCCCCCCTTCCCCGCTTCTCTCTGTCTCCTGTACCTTTTCATACCTTTATATCTTTGCAAGCCATTTGTAATGTTCTCCGAAGGGACAAGTAAGTGAAAAGTCAAGATGGAGAGGATGGCCACATGTGCTAAAACCTGCTCTTTACTGTGCAGGTTGCCTAGTGTTTTATGTACAGTATATTAGTGACCTCCTCTCTTGTTCTAACACACATACTTTTTAAGTACTCTAATCCCACCATCTTCAATTTCCTTATATGTTATTCCAGATATTCCCACAGCTCTCTTCCCTATGAGTGGCAGAATTATGCTCTTCTATGCAGCCATCTTTTTTTTGACACACACATCACCTTCTGCCTACTTTTCCTTCTGTCCCCATTTCCCTGGCTTACATTTTCTCCCATTCTGTTGCAAATATTTTAGGGATATTTTGTATACTTGTCCATGATGGAATAAGGACTCCTGCATTGGGCAGGGAGTAGGACTAGAAGACCTCCAAGGACTCTTCCAGCTCTGTTGATTCTTTCTTTCTCCCCCAATTTCATTTCCCTTGTCACCTGCTTGCTCAGAGTTCTGAAGTTGAAGGAAGCTGTATTGTCCCTTGAATTTACACAGATAAAAAATGCTGTGAGTAAAGCTGCACAGTTGTATACAATTGGAGAAATCAAGAGATCTAATTCAGGAAGATTAGGTATTTCCAAATTTGCTTTCAGAATGCTAATTTTCAGATCAAGAAGCAATGAAGCACATTTTGTATTCCCATTTTTTGTGGTCTTTGTAATTCTCTAGGATTCTCAGTGTTGAAAATTGTCCAGAATGGCCTCCTACTTAAAATTAGGTTCCCCCTAATTCTGGCCCCCTTCTGGGAAAAAAGTGAAGAGTGAGCTCTTTTGGAGGACATTGGGAGGGGGAGTGTGTGTGTGAGATGTCAAATGGATGGGTCATATGTGTTTTATGCTTTCATTTTTCAGGTTCTTTCTATTATCTTGCTATGATGTTTTACAAATAGTTGAGAGTCAAATTAGATTGCAAAGGTTAAACAAAATTTTAATCAATTAATAAACAATAAACTGTTACATTCCGAGGTCCTTAAATTACAGGATTGTTATGGTTTGATGTCTGTGTTTTGACTTTTCTCCAGGAACATCAAGGCAACATAATTAGTTCTTCACCAACCTTCAACCTGTTATTCCAGCAATAATTTCAAGCAGTAGTTAGGCTGGAAGAGAGTAACTAGTACAAATTACCTAATGAATTTCCTTTCTGACTGACTAAGTATCCTAGAGAATTACAAAGTGAATTTGAACTTGACCCATGCCTCTAATCTTC